ATAAGAATTGGATTTTACAGAAATATTTGCTCAAATGACGCTTGAGCGCGGTGTTTGGCTGCATTCAAGAGAAAAAAAGTGTGTTACGTTCAAGCGACATATACCTGCGAAAGTGATAACACTTTCATAAAGTGTTATCACAAAGTGATAAATTAATTAAACATTTTCACACACCGGATTGTCACTGCTTTATCAGGGCAGCTTTTCCAAGAATGCATTCACCTTTTCAAACATTCCAAACACTTCCCTGATCTCAGTGGAAGAGGCAGCATCCTCCCTTACCTCCTCATTCCCTTACTAATGGTGTAAATTGTTGATGAGGACCTGCCATACTTCCTTGTGAGATCAATCACACAGACACCACACTCATGCTTTGCTATAATTTCCTTCTTTAAATCCACAGTAATTGTGTCTTTCTTCCTCTTGACAACACTATCTTTTAGCAAGCAGCTTCTTTGGAGACATCGTGTGTTACAAATTGTAGTCGCAAAACCACTAAAAACCCGAAGAAAAGCTCAAATAAATCCAGAGGGATGCTTGTCGTGTGAGATACAACAACAACACTGGCGTCGGAGGCGTCCGAGAATTTGCGAGAACCCGCGAGACGCTAGGAAGCGCCATGTGGTTTCACTCGTTAATAGAGGCGAGCTCGTCAATAGAGACAAATTTGCTGCGAGTGGCTTGCTCGTTACTGGAAAAACTCGTTAATAGAGCCACTCGTTAATAGAGGTTCCACTGTATCTGATATGAGAATAAGGAAAAGCAAAGGTGCAAGGACTGTACCCTGAGGTACAGAGCTTTTAACTGCGCTTGGACTAAATTTTATATGGTTGACCGTTACTCACCGAGTCCTGTTTGACAGAAAATTGAGTATCCAGCGTCCTACTTTACCGGTTATTCCCATTGACTTCATTTTGTGTGCTATCACACCATGGTCACATTTATCGAAAGCCTTTACAAAGTCCGTGTACATCATATCAGCATTCTGTTTTTCTTCTAATGCCTTAGTGACTTTGTCGTAGTGCTCAAGTAGCTGTGAGAGGCACAATCTTCCTGCTCGAAATCCATGTTAGCCTGGGTTGTGAAAGTCATTGGTCTCCATGAAATTGGTGACCTGACTCCTAATCACTCTCTCAAATACTTTTATTATGTGCAATGTTAGTGCAACTGGTCTATAATTCTTTGCCAATGCTTTGCTCCCTCCCTTGTGTAGAGGGGCTATGTCTGCTACTTTAAGTGCATCTGGTATCTCCCCGTGTCCAAGCTCTTCCTCCACACTATACCGAGTGCCTGTGCTACTTTGCATTTCTTTATAAATTTTGAATTCCACGAGTCTGGACCTGGGGCCGAGTGCATGGGCATGTTTTCAATTTCTTTTTCAAAGTCTAGTGCGCTCATGTTGATATCAGTTATATTTACAGGGGTTTGAATATCCCGCATAAAGAAATTGTCTGGATCTTCCACTTTCATGTTGTTTATTGGAGTGCTAAACATGTCCTCATACTGCTTTTTTAGGATTTCACTAATTTCTTTGTCATCCTCCGTGTATGAACCTTCACTTGTCCAATAGGTCTTCATAGGTCCAATACTGGCAGTAGTTTTTGCTTTTGATTTAGCATATGTGAAGAAGTATTTTGGATTTTTCTTTATTTTCTGAATTGCTTTCTGTTCTAACTGCCTTTCTTCAGTTTGATATGAGTGTTTCAATTTCTGCTCGATTTCTTCAATCTCCCTATTTAAATTATTCCTTCTTGGACGGGAAATTCGTGTCTGTATAAGCATTTCCGTTATTTTTTTCCTGCGTTTATAGTGTCGTCTGCATTGGATCTCTTTCTGGCTTTCCTCAAAGGAACATGTTTCAGACAGACTTGATACGCTTCCGAAGTATCGGTCTGTACAATACAGTATCAGTATACTGTATCGGTCTCCCAAACCAGTTGTTATTACCAGCAGATCAGTATAAAAGAGGCCGTTAAATTGAGTGGATACTGTATATACAAATTGTTTATAAGTGATTGCTCTATCAAATGCCATAGAGAAAAGGAAGAATTCATAATAAATGGATTTTTCTGGATATTTATATCGAGACTGATACTTGTAGAATTACAGTATCCACTCAATTTAACGGCCTCTTTTATACCGATCTGCTGGTAATAACGACCAGTTTGGGAGACCGGTATTTAGAGTCTCGTGTAACAGTCTGGCGGTCAATATTACCGAAGGTCAGTATTGGGTTTGTTCTGGCATCAGGGGGTCCTCACATGGCAAGCAGGCCGCCTACCTCTCATCCTCACCCTCACCCTTACTCCTGCTCTCCTTAACACCCTCACTTCCTGCCTTCCCCATCCCCCCCCCCCCAAGACCCTTCTGGGAAATGGCTCAGTAGACTGCCAGCCAGCCAGAGACACATGTATTTTATAATTTTTTATTATCCTAATATTACTACACAAAATCTGTAAGCAAAAATATACATGGTGATGTACATCCAGAATTTAATTAACAAACATCTGGTTCACTGGGTCAAGTGTGTTAGGCTTATCAGTGAGCCGGTCCCTTCCCCACCACCGACACCCCTCCTCCTCCCCCCTACTTCCCATACACACGCTGTCTTTGCTTCACCTCAACATCTATCGCTCCATCCCTCTCTTCTTCCCTCCATCCCTCCCTCCCATCCAACCATCCTTCCCTCCCTCCCCTTCATCCCTTCATCCATCCCTCTCTCCTACCCCTCATCCTTCCCCTCCTTCCCTCCCCTCCATCCCTTCCTACCTACCTCCCTTCCTCCCCTCAATCCCTCCCTCCTTCCCTTCATCCCTCCCCTCCTTCCCTTCATCCCTTCCTCCCTCCATCCCTTCCTCCCTCCTTCCCTCCCTCCCTCCCTCCATCCCTCCCTCCCTCCCTCCCTCCTTCCATCCATCCCTCCCTCCCTCCTTCCATCCATCCATCCATCCATCCCTCCCTCCCTCCTTCCATCCCTCCCTCCCTCCCTCCCTCCCTCCTTCCTTTCTTCCTTCCTTTCTTCCTTCCTTCCTTCCTTCCATCCCTCCCTCCCTCCTTCCTTCCTTCCATCCCTCCCTCCCTCCCTTCTTTCTTCCATCCCTCCCTCCCTTCTTTCTTCCATCCCTCCCTCCCTTCTTTCTTCCATCCCTCCCTCCCTTCTTTCTTCCATCCCTCCCTCCCTTCTTTCTTCCATCCCTCCCTCCCTTCTTTCTTCCATCCCTCCCTCCCTTCTTTCTTCCATCCCTCCCTCCCTTCTTTCTTCCATCCCTCCCTCCCTTCTTTCTTCCATCCCTCCCTCCTTCCATCCATCTCTCCCTTCTTCCATCCATCCATCCAAAATTTTAAGAAAAATCTGGTTCACTGGGTCAAGTGTGTTCGGCTTATCAGTGAGCTGGTCCCTTCCCCACCACCGACACACCACCTCCACCCCCATACTTCATATACACACGCTGTCTCTGCTTCACCTCAACATCCATCACTCCATCCCTCTCTAACTCCCTCCCTCCCTCCATTAATCCATCCATCCCTCCATCCTTCCATCCATCTCCATCCTACCATCCATCTCCATCCTCTCCCTTCCTGCCTACCACCTAGCCTCTGCCTGCCTCCCTCCCAAGCTCTGCCTGCCTGCCTCCCTCCCTCCCAAGCTCTGCCTGCCTCCCTCCCAAGCTCTGCCTACCTGCCTCCCTCCCAAGCTCTGCCTACCTGCCTCCCTCCCAAGCTCTGCCTACCTGCCTCCCTCCCAAGCTCTGCCTACCTGCCTCCCTCCCTCCCTCCTTGCCTCTCCCTCCCTGCCTCCCTCCCAAGCTCTGCCTGCCTGTCTGCCTGCCTCCTTGCCTCTCCCTCCCTGCCTACCACCCAGCCTCTGCCTGCCTCCCACCTAAGCTCTGCCTGCCTCCCTCATTGCCTCTCACTCCCTGCCTACCACCCAGCCTCTGCTTGCCTGCCTCCCTCCCAAGCTCTGCCTGCCTGCCTCCCTCCCAAGCTCTGCCTGCCTGCCTCCCTCCTTCCCTCTCCCTCCCTGCCTACCTCCCAGCCTGTCTGCCTACATTTCAGCCTCTCCATCCCTGCCTGCCTGCCCATCCACCCACCAGTCAGCCATCACTGACACAACGAGTGCATTTGGAGCCAACATGGTGCATGGATGTTCCTTGATTGTGCAGATATGTCCAACAAAGTCATGGAATGAATACTCCAGCCTCATGACAAATCAAAACAATGTGCCGTGAATCTGTGACATCACAGGGTAGAAGGCACTAGAAAGGTGAACCAAGTGGCTGTCTATATAAAATATATCTTACCTGAATATTACTTGAAAAATTACCGACACTTAACTTTGAAAATATCGGAGCTTTGGAAATAACGACCAGGGTACAACCCCATATAGGCCGTTAAATCGAGTGGATACTTATGATATCCTTGTCATTACGTCATATTTGCGGACATCAATAATAGTCACATAGTTGTGATTTTGATATGGAATTGTTCACCAATGATTGTTCTATCATGTGCCAGGTTCAAGATGATAAATGCATAGAGATTTTCTGTGATTTTTTCTTTATAATGGATGTAGGACCTCTATTCTTTTCACATGGAAGGGGAGGGATAGCCTGGGGGCTGATGGGTAGAATGAATTCTGTGATGGAACAAATCGGCCTCGTCCCATACAGTTCGTTCAAGCGAGGACACACTGTATTTCATTTTACATGCGATTTAAAATATGGCTTGCAGAAGGAAGGGGGTGGTGTTAAGCATTTTGATTTAATCATTTTGAATAACAGGGCAACTTGGCCATGCATAGTTACTTTCTACTGTATTATCACCCCAAATGTGTGACAAGACCACTCACAATGTTCCTTGACACTGGGGTGAGAGGGGAACTAATGTCAAGCCTATGTATTGTGTCAGGATGGACCATAAGTGTGGTACCTTGCTCAGAAAAATAACAATGAAATAATTAGGTATCCTTCCCCATTTGAGACATGAAACTACCCACTTACCATCATCAGTTTCACTTTCTGACTCTGAAATATATCTCCTTTTTCTTTTCACTCTTCTAGTACCCTTGTTTGCCAATCCATCAGATTGAAGAACCTCTAACTTCTTCAACCGTCTTAATGCCTTTTCCCAATTCACTGTAAAAACATATACATAAAATATTATTTTCAACCAAATAATTTTAATTCACTTTAAACTATTTCACAAAAGTAGATTTTAGACAAAACTTTCAAAAAATAAAGAACCCTATTTACTTTCAAAAGAAATGGCATGTATTTTATGTCTTCTCCATCTCTCCTTATCAGGTGCCTCTTTGGTTTGGGCTTTTAACGCCGCATGACTAGATGGCCAGTAGCTGTATGCTCTCTGGAACAGGAAAAAAAATCTTAACTATAAATGAAGTACTGCTTCCATTATAAAACCTTCCCTTACAAATAAACCCTCCTTTCTGTTATGTATACAGTACTATATATGCAGAACTCAAATTAATGTTTAGTCTATAAAGCAAAACAGAAATTTTGTTGTAATTACATTTCCTTTTATCTCCAGCCAAGTTTTGTGAATAACAGAAAATGTATTACTGTCCACAAACTTTGCAACAACATACTCGGGTGCAGCCTTCTGTAAAAAAATAAAAACAATTTAGTTTTGTTATAATTTCAAGCTGTGATTTTTTTTCCTGTTCAACATCAGTGTATTAGCCACATCATTGTTAAAAATTTCTAAGCACTTAGGCTGGGCCAACAGGCCCCCCCCCCCCTCCTAACAATGTAAGGTCGGCCGGGCATTGCCCGTGAGTTGAGTGCACAACCACACCCCAATGTTTATACCCTTTCCAGTTTTCTGAACTCATTTTTCATACTACGTTGTTCATTTTAGTATTAAATTGTTCAAAATAGAATGCTCTATATGGATATATGCATATAAGGTCAAATAGAATAACAGCATTATCAATACTAAAAGGTAAAGTACATCATCATGTGAAACACATTGAATGAGAAGAAGCCAGCAGGGGAGGGGGTTTACCGAGCTACACCGGCAGGCAAGATGCCTGGTTAACCCTTAAAGTGCGCATCACGTCATATGACGTTTTGGACGTTGTTCCAGTCAACTGCGCATCATGTCATATGATGTGTTGGAGTACTACACAAGATTTAAACGGCCCGCGGATACACGGGGTTCACCACACCTTCATCAGGGCTCTTGTAAACAGACACCATTTTAAAAAAAAATCGTGGGCCAAACTCCCGGGTGTTATTGGCCTCAGTATTGAGTGAGCAACCAAGCCTGACGCACGCAGCATGAGCTAACAGCACTGCTGTTCAACTTGTGACCACAGCATCGCCTAAAAATGCCAAAATATACTTGTAAATGCTATTATGTAGTGATGATATTATTACAGAAGACCCCTGACTGTGATAAAACTGACCAGGGTTCTGATAATAGCAGGATTGTGGTGATATTTAGCGCTGTGCGCCATGGAGGGAGGAGTAATGCTGTGGGAGGGAGGGTGGTGGCGATGTCTGACTGTGTGGCGCCATCTTTTATTGACTGCACTCACCATACCAGCTTAGTGGTTCGCTATGGTGAACACAAATGTAGATACTTATATATAACGTGTGTATAGAGGGTATAAACAGCAAGAGAAGGTTTGTAGCCGCTATTTTGGTGAGGGCGGTGGTGTTGTCTGCACGACGCCACCGTGCAGACGACGGTGTTGTTTACTGGTTACTACAATGGTCTTTGGGCACCATACCAGTTTATTTGTACAAGTATGGTGAATAAAACAGGTAGATATTTATATATAATGTGTGTATATAGCGTAATATCACCACACAGTATTGTTGGAGGAGAAATATTAGTGCGTCTGGCCTTGAGGGCGGCTGCCATCAGCTGACTGTGTGAGGTCCTACGTCTTTGTGCCTTTACTCACCATACAAGCTTAGGTGTACAGTTATGGTGAACAAAACATGTAAATACTTATATATAACGTCTGTATATAAGATATATAGCGTAATAACACCACACAGTATTGTTGGAGGAGAAATATTAGTGCGTCTGGCCTTGAGGGCGGCAGCCATCAGCTGACTGTGTGAGGTCCTACGTCTTTGTGCCTTTACTCACCATACAAGCTTAGATGTACAGTTATGGTGAACAAAACATATAGATACTTATATATAATGTCTGTATATAGTGAATTATAGCAAAAACAGTATTGTGGGAGGAGAATGTGGGGAGTCAGATGACTGGAGGGAGGGCGGGAGTGGCTGGCTGGTACACGGCGGTCACTCCTCGTTACTTTTTGACTCATAATAGCTACTTAATGGTTCGTTATAGTGAACAAAACATACAGATACAGTACTTATATATAACCTGTGCTTATAGTGTAATAACCGACAAAGTATTTGTTCACTGATTGATGAACATAATTGAATCAACAATATGCACACCATATTTTTGAGTACAGCATTGATTCACTCATTTTATTATATAAATATATCAAACTACACACTATTGAATAATATTACAGCAAAAAAACTATGAAAAATCAATCAGACATATTGAAATAATTAGGTAATTATCTCTTTGTGGCAACTCCGGCCTAACAGCTGGCGAGCAACAGACCGCCTGGGACGCATGCTGAGTCAGCGCCTATAATTTGCCAGACTTCCCCGCCCTATAGCGGGTAATATATGCCACTTACGATTTTTTTATTATTTTCCCTGTGATCAGTGAACACAAATGAACAGGTTAGGAAGAAAAATTTTGTTTTTTTTTCAAAATGACATGCGTCTGTGGGGATGACAGGATATTAAACACCGAGCATGTTAAGGGTTAATGAAGCCTGGCCAAGAGGCCCGAAAGACATAATGGTAAACCCTAGCTGAATTAATACGGAAATTAATCAGGCGTGCAGAAATTTACACAGAGACTGGGAAAAGCCTGATATAAAAATGGAGGAGAAAATTAACCCCAGGCTCTTTATACTCGTGCTTTCTGTTTTTGTGTGTCAGTGACTGCTCTTCTGTCTTCCCTAATTACCAAAAATATTGCGGCATTTACAGAAGATTCGAATGCCCATATCCAACTCAATTTCAGACTTATCACATTCTGTTTTAGCTACCTTGTTTGTGTCATCATGCTGGACAACACCTATATGAGAAGGTATCCATACAAACGAGACTTTAAAACTCCTACTCTTTGCAATAATAATAATGTTCATAATGGATGTTACAACTACAACCTTCTGAAGATCAATGTTTTATCTATATAATGTAATAAACAAATGTTTTCTATGTCAGCAGCAAGGCAGATATATAAGCTACATTTTAAATACTTTGTCATAAATATAACTGAAGTGAAAGCGAAGATATATGCATTTGTATAGCTATTTGATAGTTTATAGTTACTCGATGGCTAGCTCTGAGTGTGAAGCCCTTCACACCAGTCAATAAATTGTGTAATTAATTTCCATATTTGCTAATGAACCTTAAAATCTATATGTCAGAAGGAAGATGTAGACGTTAGTATGACAACATATTAAGAAATATATATCTTAAGGTAAATAAATAATACCACCCTATCGCCGGTGTCCGAACACATGAAAGCTACTTGGGTATCAGTGTCCAGCCAGGGGGGATCACAGGTTGCACAATACTGATAAATTATGTAATTCACAGAGATGCGCTGATAAACATTAATGTTTTATATATTATTAAAAATACAGATATAAACTTTGTTTCAAACGTTAAATGTAACAATATTTCAGTATATATAATATAAGCATAGTATATATACATGTAATTCAGTATATACAATATATAATAAGATATTGAATATTTAACAATATAAGTATAAGAACCAAGATATATTTATGATTTAACGATTTCCCATAAAGTTGCAATGATACCCTAATTGCACACTATCATCATATACAGAAAGAAATTAACTTATAAATTTTAAGTCACCTTAATACACAAAACAGAAGTAAAGATATATTCTATATGTATATTAATTATGATGCATGATCGATGTCTAGGTGAATTATGGTTGAAACAGTCAGATTATATATGTCAGCCCCAAGCAATTAATTATCAAAAGAAGGTGCCAAGCTGAGGATTGTCTTCCACAAGTACAGCCACTCTTACCTTTATTATAAACCTAAATATATTCTATATCATCAAATTCAGAAACATACAATATATTTCCAATGCGAACAAGCCTGAATGGTCCCCAGGACTATATGCGAATGAAAACTCACACCCCAGAAGTGACTCGAACCCATACTCCCAGAAGCAACGCAACTGGTAACTACAGGGCGCCTTAATCCGCTTGACCATCACGGCCGTCAAAAGGAAGTGATAGCCGAGGCTATTTGAGCCACTTCCCCGACGGCAACTCGGATGGTAATCTTGGGCATAGCATTTCACCAAATCACCTCATTCTTTGGGGCACACGTGAGGAACACAAATAACACACAATTTGTGTTCCTCACGTGTGCCCCAAAGAATGAGGTGATTTGGTGAAATGCTATGCCCAAGATTACCATCCGAGTTGCCGTCGGGGAAGTGGCTCAAATAGCCTCGGCTATCACTTCCTTTTGACGGCCGTGATGGTCAAGCGGATTAAGGCGCAATATATTTCCAATTTTGTTTAAATTATAAATTTTGAAAACAGAGATGTTGTTCTAGTTTACCTAATATAGAGCATGAATACCACAGACTCATCGTGCGAGTTGTAGTTTATTCTGTTCTCCATACTTATCCTGCGAGTCTCAGTGTATTTTGAACCGCATACTCATACTGTGAGTCTTAGTTTATTGTGCACCCTATACTCATCCTGAGGCTTAGGTTACTGTACACCCCTTAGCCATCATGTCTCCCAAGGGGTCTGTATAATTGCCCAAAGGTAATTACCCCCGAGGACCACAGGCCTCCTCCGGTTGGTCTACCAGGCTGTTTGACGCTGCTGTCATTTACACACATTACATTATATGTGGATAAATAATCAATCATTTACTTTACCATTAGTAGCCCAAATTAGCTTAAATTATTTCAAAATTAATCCAACACGTCTATACGGAATATAGATTGATTTATGAGTGCCAAGCACTCAAAACCGAGAATTTTCAATTCAGACAATGGCAAAGAGTTTGTAAACCTAATGCTGAAATGTCTTTTTGATAAGTGGGGGGGTGATACAATTTTTTTGACTGGAAGACCTCGTCACTCCCAGTCCCGGGATGTGTCAAAAATGGCAACAAAGTCATTCAGGACAAACTCCGCAAGTTGAAGATCGATGCAGGTTTAAATGACGAATCAAGCTTTCCTTGGGTATCATGGTTACCAAAAGTTATGTATGCCATGAATATCACGATTTCAGAGACTACAACATTATTGCCATACGAAGTAGTATTTGACATGCATGCTAGAGGAAATATATTCTAGGAGGCGCACGTACTGGAGTAATAGATGAGGAAGAAATAACTGGAGTTAATACTGACGAGGATACAGAAAATGTTTATCACACACAGATACTTGGTGCACACTCTCAGTTGGAGGTCGCTGGTGGCGATGTGCTAGAGGTCGCTGGTGGCGATGTGCTAGAGGTCGCTGGTGGCG